TTTAGATTAAATGTTCCCATGTGCTTGAACAGGAAGGTCTTTGATTAATGTCTACTTCCAGTTCTAACGTGTGGAGTAGAAACATTGGAGGACGTCGTCCAACAAGGTGGTCGAACGATATGCAGCACATTCAAGGTGCTCAAGATTGGTTGCCATGGAATTATTTTCGAGAGGCCGATGGTCAGCAGTGGACCCAAAACGGCTGATGATGATGATTCCATCTTTAATAATCGAATAGCAATCAGTCCCTATGTTTCCTTGGAATTTCCCATGTTTCTGACTCATATGTACATATGCTTTCAACACTGGTTTTGTAAATAAACTTTTACGTTTTATTTGTTACTTTATCTCTCCAGAAAATTGAATTTAATTAGGAAATACAACGTCTTCCTTGTTCAATTTAGTTTTTAATGTCTTGCTTGCTCTTTTCGTCAGATGATAATTTACACCCAAGTAATTTAAGAATGAGCAATGCAATATTACATTTTTTTTTTAATTTTTAAAAACAGATACAGGGATTACACAGGGATTACACTCTTCTCGCCCATGGGCCGATCAATGCATTTTTATAAACGATAAAAGGTAGGCCTCGGACAGATAGGTATGCATACATTAAGGAAAGACATAAGTAATTAACAAAGGTGGTTATATTTGTATATTCATTGTTCTGACGAAAGACAGCAAACAATCGTAAATTTCTTTTTTATCTAAAGCAAGTAGATGCAGTATATTAAATGGGCTTTCAATGTTCAATTTTAAAAATTTACTGAACCAACTTTACATTTTTCTGTAACGAGGTCTTGCTAGTTTTCATCGCCAATTTTTTTTTTAATTTATTTTTTATCCTCATTTCTCGTATGCCTCAAAACAGCTTCCTTAACATATCGTTTGAGTCGTCAGTACCAGCAGCTATCAGTACTTAATTGTCCGCGAACATAACTATTGTGTCATTTCCCACCGTTATTCCTATTTGGCCATATTTCCGTTTGCATATTTTGAGTGCTTCTTCCAGGTATATTTTAAACAATATCGGCGCTAAGCAACATCCCTGTCTTAAACCTTTACTATTCCGAAAATCTTCAGATATTGTCTACTCTACCTTTACTGTGCTGCTATATCCTGAGTACAGGCCTTTTATAGCTTTAATGTAACCTTTACTAACACCATTGTTTTCATGCACAACCACAACTTATTTAATGATAGATACGGTATCGTAGTCTTTCTCAAGGTTTACAAAGGTTAAATGACTCTCTTTCTATGCGTTTCTCTATAAGCTGTTTAATAGTAAATGTGAATACCCCGTCTATACAGGAGCGACTAACTCTGAAACCGTTTTAATCTTCTGATTATTTGACTTGCTCTAAAATTCGGTGTTTTAGAATTCGTCTATAAAGCTTTGCTGCATATAACACTAATTCTCCTGTAATTTTTACAGTCTTTTCTGCTTCCTTTCTTGTGAATGGTAGCTCTATTTCATTATTTGGGTGGCGGCACGTTTTTGTTGAGGCACTTATTAACGATAACTGCAAGGTTATCCATTAATTTATCCGGAGCTGCTTTGTGTAGTTCTCTACTTATATTTACTGGACCCAGATGCTTTCCCGTTCTATAGCTGTATAATACTTTTTTGTATTTGTTTATTATTTTCGCTGTGATTATTATTGCTTCTTGTTGAACATTCCCTTCGTAGATTTCTTATGAACTGTCTTCCTGAGATTCGATTGTATCTTCCGTTAGGAGCTTCTAATAATATTCTTTCACTCTTGAATGTCAGTAAGATGAAGTAGTAGTATCAGTGTCTTCATTCTGTGTTCATATTCTGTGTGGCAATTTCCATAAGAAGTACAATCTCACGGCTGCATAAAATAAGGAACTGATATGGATGCATATCTAATTAACTTTTCAGAGTAACCATATCTAAGATCAGTATAGCTATGATACTCGCCAACATCAGTCACGGAAATCTTAAGAAAAAAAACTGGAATCAAGAATTGAATTTTATGTCAACACTGATAGTAAATTAAAAGTTACATCACTAGGCATCAAAGGCCTATGTTCAAAAATACTGACAAAATAATTTTAAAGTCTCCTACTTTTAGTAATATAATAATGTAGCAAAAAAAACCGGTATTTTGAAAAAACAAAAATAATAATAATGCAGTTATAATGCTCTATCTTGGAAAAGTCTTGTCTATATCGTTTCTTCGTATCTTTCGTATTTTTAAGGTTGTAATTTAGTTGATTTGTTCTTCCCATCTCTATAAGAATAATTAAAATGTTTTGCTATTCAGCTCATTACTCAAAATGATTGTATTTTAAATTGTTTAACATTCAACAAAAAGTTATTTGAAATATTTAGAATTTAAACATTTACTATATAATTCTCATTAGTTTTTAGAACTTTTTCAATTTTAGGAAAAGGAAGATTGCACTTCAACAATTAAGAAATTCTCTAACTCGCGTGTGATGATATTTATAAAAAAATATACTAAAACAATATGGATACAAAATTGGTATTTAACACATCATCACACAATATATAAAATAGTAATAATAGGTTGGAAATATACAAATTCATACAGAGTGTTTAGAGCATAAGTACAAACCTAACTTTTTACAATTTAAAAATGATAATATACCCAAATTTACTAATTAGGTACTTTTAAAGTAACAATTTTAATTTTACTCCTAAGAGTGCACTTCTATATCATACATTTAATTTAAAATAATTTGTAATTAGGCAAAATCTGAGATAAGCTAGTAAAATATATTTATTCTCTTTGTATATTCTAATCTAACTTTTATCTAAAATGTAAAAGTCTAATGGTGATTTACCAGCGAAGCAAAAATTGGCAATTTACTCAACACAATTTTCAAATTTAGACAATTTAGAAATCACGGTTCTCTCTCTTGATGCCAATCAACATGTAGCTTCGCCGTTTTTTTTTTAATTTAAACTGTTTTCCTTGTGTCGTCTAGTGTTAATGTACAATTTTATGTTTATGACATTCTCAAAGATTGTTGGATAGGCCAAATTTGACGAAATGCCCCTAAAGATGTTCTAGGAAACGAAAGTACTTGGCCAAGATTGAATTAATAAACTGTGCTCGATATCTGCCTTTCATTTGATCAAAGTTAATTTTAATAAGTTTTCCCTCAAATTTGATATAATAGAATGTCTCATCTACGGAACAATGGACAACGTTTTTGGTTAGTCACTTAATTTTGCTCTTCTCGTCCCTCAGCTCTGCAGTAGTCTTTCTATATGAAGAATTCTTTGTTCCATTTCTGGCCATTATCGATGGATATATTTCAAAATTTAAAATGTCAAGTTTTCTGGACATTAAAAGCATGTTAGGCTAGGTTCAACAAAATTGCATAACTTATGAAGTATTTTGTATGTATAACTATTTTGAAATGAATATTAATGAAGAAATGTAATAAAACTAGAACTTACGATACGCAAAGATACTTTTATGGTGAAAATATAAATATTTCGAAACTACCATTAAAGTACTATTTGTTACTTCAATTAAAATTCATTGCTAAAACAAAAAATATCTGTGGTTTTCTTCTTCTTCAGCTTTTTCTCTAAATCTCCCAGTCCCTTTTCTGAGGTCTCTATCTATGATAGCATTTAAAATGTACGTTTTTCATCTTATACGAGGTCTTCCTCTTCTCTTCTTACCGGCAGGTCTCAGTTCAATATTTTTTTCGGTCACCTGTGCTCTGGTATTCTTTGTACGTGCCTGTAGCACGTTTTCCAACTTTTTTGTAATTAAGCATTCCACTTCCATTCTGTTCCATATTTCCTCTGTTCTTATTCTATGCTCTCTGGTGATTTGTAGACATCTTCTCATAAAGTCCAGTTCAACTGTTCTTATTATATTTCATATTGATGTTGTCATTAACCATACTTTCGCTCCATATAAGGTAATATTAATCACTATGCTCTGAAATATCAGTTTTTAGTTTTCTCCTTGCTATTTTCATTTATATATAATTCATACAGGTACCATCTCGGTTCTTTGACCCTAAATACTTGAAAGTCTAACAACTTTTAATGGTCTCTTCTTCTAAACTTAAGTTCAAATATATGTAGTTTTAACATTATATTCCCAATCTACTAATAAGTAATCATCTTTAAATATTACTTATGATCATTCAAACTCTTACGTTTATTGGCGGATATAGATATTTATTTTAATGTGAGGCTATTCCTTGTAACATTTTACTTTTGTGATTAACACGATATGGGAATTAAAGTAACAAAACTATAATAGTTACATTTCGCCTTCTCGGTTGAAAGTCGTTTTCGAGAAAATATAAAATACAATTTAACAAAAGTTTAGTAATTTATTTAATTTTTAGAAATTTGTATGTTTAAAACGACTCCCGACCTAAGAGAGAAACCTCAAATACATTAGTTCTAATTTGACAACTGCGTTTAATTCTAATTTTGTCATAATATAATTTTGTCATCGAAAAACCGACTAAAGTATTTTATCTAGAAGGACCAAAACTTACTGTTGGCATTTGCAGACGATATCGATCTAATAGAAAACAGTAGACTAAGAAAGAAGACTTTCTTCAGGTTCGAGAAGGAAGCAGAAAAGATAAGGTTCCGAATCAATGAAAACAAAACTGAATATATGCATATGAGCAACAATAATCGACACATAGATAGAATTAGAGAACATAACCAACGGTGACTTTAATTTTAGCGCGTCAGAGAATTTAAGTATCTTACTAACTTAATAAATAACAAGACATACAAAGATACAACTATATAAAACAGTCATACGACCCGTAGTGATGTATGGTAGCGAAACGTGGACGATAACAAAGGCAAACGAAGAGCGACTACGTGTTTGGGGAAGAAAAATTATAAGCAAGATATTTGGGCCTCTGCTTGATAGAGCAGCAGGACAATATAGGATAAGAACTAACAAAGAGCTCGAATAACTAAATCCAGACGCTAACATAATAAAAGAAATAAAGTCTAGAAGAGCCCGGTGGACAGGGCGCCTCAGAAGATATTCTAACCAAAGAATAGTAAGGCTGTTATGGGAAGAAGCCCCAACTGGAAGAAGACCACGTGGACGACCTCAATAAGTTGTCTTGTTACTACTACTAGATGTACATTTATGACATTCCTTACTCGTTTAGTTTCATATGGCATCAGTATGTTTATTACATATTCGTTAATCTAGTTATTTGTTCTTTGGATGAATCGAATCATTAAGTATCGTTGTGATTAAAGATATTTATCTATGTTGTGATATGTATTTTATTTTTACATTACTTTTATTTATTAGAAAAGTTCTATTCCATTCTAGATAATGGAGATTATAAGTATATCAGATACAGATTTCCGATCTTTCTGTTAAACCACTTCCGTAAATTCTTGTCATGACAATTCTCTGTTCTAGCTATTGGGATAATAAGAATCTATAAAAAAATAAACATCTGCTATAAAATAAATACATATACACATCCTTGAAAGAAGAATATACTAAAATGAATTAGCCAATTTTTGCGTAGCCATAAGTTTTGTCTCTAAGCACTCTGTCTGATGTTAGTTTAAGATAATTTTTAACAACTTTCTACATACAATAAGTCACTTTCTTCGGGTAATTTGTAGAGGGCTTTCCGGAGGAGATTCCACTGAAGTTTCACGTTTTACCGACTTTTTCGACGGTTTTAAATTGGTTGAAATTCTCTTCATGGGTCTAGGAGATATGCTGGATTCGACGATTTGGTTGTCTAAATTTTGAAACCAACCGCTTCTAGTAACTTCATTGGCCGATGCTGAAAAATATAAAGACGATTATATTGTAAGTGCTTATCTATCAATTAATAGTGCTAGTGGGTTGGTAAAATGCATATAAAAATGTGCATGCAAGGCAGAAATCATTTTTTGGTGCTACAATAAAGTGACCCAAAAACTTTAATCTGCACCTGCAATCTAAAAGAATCCGTTTCAGCACATATTTTTATTTCTTTAAAGCTTACCTCTAAATTTCTGATCAGATCTTTGGGAGCTCTTTGGGATATGTCCGTGAGAGTCCAATAGAGCAGCTGCAAGCATAGAATTTGAACCAACATCACCGTTGTTTGACGATAAACTATTAGGGTAAAGCAAATTTGGCGTAAGGACGGGACTGTATACTTTTGATATGAATTCTTCATACGTTGTACCTTTTTTGTGTTTAGTTACAACTGTTTCTAAAGACCTAGCTCTTTCTTCATAACTACAACAAACAAACAGTTTATTGAAAATATGATTCTTAATAGTTAATAAATTTTGTTTAATTTTTAATTTTGTTAATGTATGTTCGAAAGTATGTTTGAAATTTTCATTTCGAAACGCCAATAAAATAGGTAACGTAGAAATTCCACAGGAACTCAGAACCATATTAAAAAAATCTGTTTACATTCGAAATTCATACTATATTACAAGAAAAAAAAAATGCGCTATTGGTTAGATTAATACATATTATAAAAATATATTAATTTATATCAATTAAAGTTAATTATGGAGTTGAGAAATAAAAGTACAAAATAACTGTTATATTCAAAAGAATAAAATATCCTTTACTATACATTAACTATTATATATATATATATATAATATATATATATATATAATATATATATATAATATATGGAAAATGTGATCGCTAACATCCATTAGTGGATTTGCAGCTGAAGAAGAAGAAGATATATATATATATATATATATATATATATATATATATATATATAATATATATATATATATAATATATATATGGAATGCTTAATTTGTTAGAAACATGGTTGCACAAAATTTGGTATTGTCAATAACCCAGCAAATATTGGAAGTTTATCATTGAGAAATATAAAGATTGTTTATACAATACAAGTATGAACTATTTTATTAGATATTTTAAATATAACTTACTACTGTTGATAGAATTCGTAAGTAATTCTCTTGGCTCGACTTGCACAAATGGCTGTTGCTCTAACTAATCCGGCTAACACTGAAGTTTCAACAATAGCCTCATTAAATAATACTCCAAAATGTGGAACCTAAAGAAAAAAATAATTTAAGCACGAAGTTAACGTAATGCAAACAAATATCTATAAATATCTATTTTGGATAAGGACTGAGATGGGAAATAAAAGTACGCAAAGTACATATACAGGGTGGTCCTTAAGTAATTGTACAAAAAGAAACCGTAGATTCTGCACTTTAAAATATTACGATTTAAGTCAACTTGCTTAAGTAAAATGTTGATATTAAGAAAGATACAGGGTGTTAAAGTGAAAATTTAAAATTTTATTTTTCGCTATAACTTTTATGTTTGTTAACATTTATGTATAAACATTTACAACTGGATACTATTGAATATAAGAAATTATAATTTGATGCACACTTTGATGTAGCTGATAGAGGGTGCCACATATGCCACATATGTGGCATAAATTTGCACCAACTTTTTTGCTCTTTAAGTTATGGATATTTTTGACAAAAAATGTTAAAGATACATTATTTCAACATAAAAAAGGTATACCTGTTAATAACTTTAAAACTCAACAGTTTTCGAGATAATCGAATTTTACAAATCAAATGAATAATTCTGATTTACCGCAATTACTCCAGGCAACGAAAGAAAAATACACAAAAACATTAATACTTCTGAATTTTGGTATGAAATATTTTTAATAATAAGTTAATAGCTAACGAAATATTCAAGAAAATAAATATATCAACAGGATAATTAATAATATGATTTGACAAAATAATAGGATAATTGGATTTTACATCAAACATTTTACGTTTTATATTAAATTAAAGTCTTAAACATTTTATTTTCCAAACCAAATTAAGAAATAATTAAACTAATTAAGATTAAACTCTTTGTCAAAGTAAGTGTTCGATATGTCCACCATTTTCCTCAATACATTTATCAATTCGTTTCATAAAAGATCGGCTCATTAAATAGCATCATCGGTTCATTAGAAACTGCTGCAGTATTTATTTCTTCCCAAAGTTGGTTGCGAATGTTTATGGGATTCTTGTAGACATGTTGTTTCATTGCTCCCCATACACCAAAATCTAGCGGATTAAATTCTGGGCTACGTGGTGGCCAAGGAAAATGACTACCACGACCAATCCAACGTTCCGGAAAGTTGGTATTCATGTTCTCACTACCCTTGTATAATGTGGTGGTGCACCATCTTGCATAAACCACATATTTTGCCTTAAGTTTAATGGCAATTCATCCAACAAATCAGTAAACTCATTTTGTAAAAAATGTAAATAGCTCTCACCATTCAAATTACGACGTAACTCGCGTGGTTCTAAAAAATGATTACCAATGATTCCACACCATACGTTAATTTTAAATTCATGTTGGAAATGCCTTTCTCTCTTAACGCGGGGATTTTTAGTATCCTAGAAATGATTGTTCCTTAAATTAAAAACACCATGGCGTGTGAATGTAGCTTCGTCCGTAAATAATATTCTATCGACGAAAGAGTTGTCAAGATTTTGCCTGTTTCGGATATCATTTGCAAATCTGCATCTTAAAGGTAAATCTGCTGGTAATAGATTTTGCACAGGTGTAAAATGGTAATGGTAAAAATGCTCACGGTGCAGGATTTTTAAAACTGAAGTTTTGCTGATTCCTAACGCTGAAGATAAACGTCGTGTACTTACTTGAGAATTATCGTCAACGCGAACCATTACTTCATCTTCTTGATCAGGCGTAATGATTTTTGGTCGACCTAAGTTGTCACGTTTAGGACGAAATGAACCACTTTCGCCTAAATTTCGAAATAGATGTTTAAATATTTGGTGTTTGGGCTGCAGCCTGTTTGGGTATCTTCTTAAATATTCCATTTTCGCTGCTCGCTCGTTAAAGTGTTGCTGACAATAAATAGCAACCATATCTCTCATATCCATATTAGAAAAATTATTACGCCTTGGCATTTTCTGCTTTTCTTTGGGAAACCAAAATAGACTAGATATTGCAAAAATCGCTGATTAAACAAAACAAGACTTATTTTTAGTTGTCAAAAGCATTCGTGACATTAGCCTACTATAAAATTTCCCGTAATGCATTGGGGTTGTCTACTGGCATCAAAACTGCCTTAAAAAAAACGTGGTAGGTACAATAGCTGACACTGTAGACTAACACTTAGCTTCATATCATGTTTTCTATATTTTTTAAATAATATTTTCAACATTTAATAAAGTAACTTTATTATTTATTTATTATTTATATTTTAAACAAATTATATTATATTAAAATAATTCAATAAATTAAGTTTTCTAGTAGCGCCACCTGCTAACATATCAACAAAATACAGAACCGTCAAAGTGAGACTTAATATATTATTGAAATATAAATTTGATATTCGATCATTAACTTGATAATAAATTTAATTATTAGATAAAATAAATAAGACGTTCAAAAATAAAATTTGATTATAGTTTGAAAGGAATTTATTGACAACTAACGTTAAACGTGACGCTATAGCGTGAGCGCTACGGCGTCACGTAGCGCTCGTGACGCCATCTCGTAGTGATATAGAAACTTATAAAAGCGATATATAAAGGAAATTGTAAACATGATGACGGCCAACTTCTGAATACAAATACGGCACTCAAAGAAGAAGATAGAAGCTTCTCTCCAATAAGACATTTAGCAACCATAACAAAGCATGTCTGGATATTACATTATCATATTTGAGTTGTTTTAATAGGAACAAACTAATAATTACGCTTATTCACAAGTATTCAGTGTTTTACCACAAAATTATCACAACTAAGAATGATTATGCAGCTGACTTATAAAATACGATTATCTTGAAAACGATTGAATTTTGAAGTTATTAACAAGTATACCTTTTCTTTGTAAAAATAATGTGTCTTTAATATTTTTTAATAAAAATCGGGCTAACTTAAAGAGAAGAAAAATTAAGCGCAAATTTACGCCACATACGTGGCATATGTGGCGCCCTCTATCAGCTACATCAAATTATAATTGCTCCTACTCAAAAGAATCCAATTGTAAATTTTTGTCCATAAATATTGACAAACAAGAAAGTTATAGCGAAAAATAAAATTTTAAATTTCCACTTTAACACCCTGTATCTTTGTTAATATCACCATTTTACTAAAGCAAGTTCCAATTACTTAAGGACCACCCTGTAGATGCATATATTGCATATTTTTGCTCATTTCAAACAATATTGCATATAAATTATGTAAAGGTTTAAAATTTTCCTCCCTTAGTTGGATTTGTACAGACCAATAAATATATATATATATATATAATATATATATATATATATATATATAATATATATATATATATATATATACCGGGTGGTGAATCGTCAAACGGGCCATAGGAAACTCAATGGGAAATTTTAAATTGTTGAATTGCTGCTTCCCTAATTATTTTAGATCAAAAGTCATAAAAAACTATTTGTAGAGGACTAAAATCTGAATTAAAAACAAATGTTAAAACCGTTCTATGAATCAAATATACTTCAAAATTTTGCAAAAATATAATAGGTTTTTCAGACCACCCCTAAAAGTTAGGCCACACGTAATACAAGAATATATAACGTGTGTGTTTTATCATATTGATGTCAGATGTTTGACAATTTGAATTGTCAATTTTTTTATTTTATGATTAAATTATAAACAACTAATTTTACTAAATACTACTACTACTGAACAATATTACTTTGTGAACAATAAATTATATTGTTTACAAATCGATCAATATAATGAAATGTACTCAAATGACGAAAAATCGCATAATGTTGTATTCAGGCAATAGCGCGAACCTTTTTCTGTCACTACCGGATCTTTTTTTTAACGTAAGATATTCTAATACACTAAAATTTAATTCCATGTTAAGTTAAGTTATACAACAATTCAATGAATTCCAATATACTGTTACTGTGATCTTTATTCCTAATAATATATGATACTTTCTAAACATAAAACTATAACAAATGTTATAATAAAACACGAATAAAACATTTTTATTATTGCTCTTTTCTCCTTAACTGAGTACATTTTTTAATCAACTTAATTTTTCTTTTAAATAATAAATCACAAAATTTTGGCCATTTAAATCATAGATAAATATAATATAGTTGATTTAAATATTGTCAAATATTAGAAACAAAACGGAGGAGAAGCGTTGTACAGTTCGATATACAAGCTAATTCAAGACATTTGGCAAGAAGAAACAATGCCAGATGAATGGAAAGAAGGGGTTATTGTACCAATACACAAAAAAGGAAACAAAAAGCAATGTATTAACTACAGGGGAATAACACTCCTAAACACCACCTACAAAATCCTTGCAAACATCCTGCTAGAAAGAACCAAAACATACACAGAAGAAATCGTTGGAGATTATCAATGCGGATTTAGACCGGGCCGCTCTACAATTGACCAGATATTTACAATAAAACAGATAATGGAAAAATGCTGGGAGTTTGATCGTGAGCTTCATCAGATGTTCATAGATTTTAAACAAGCATTTGATAGAGTATGTAGGGACAGACTGTGGACAGCCATGCAGGAACTTGGCTTTCCAAAAAAACTAGTCCGGTTGATACGGATGTGTATGGAACGGTTACGATGTAAGGTGAGAGTTGGACAACAATACTCGGAGACATTTGAAATAAACAATGGACTAAAACAGGGAGATTCACTTTCACCACAACTCTTCAACTTAGCTCTGGAGCACATAATCAGAAGTGCAAGAATCGAAAAAACCGAATACAGTATTTCATCGAGAAGGACCAAACTTACTACTGGCATTTGCAGACGATATAGATCTAATAGGAAACACGCGATTAAAGATGAAGGAGACTTTCGTAAGGTTTGAGAAGGAAGCAGAGAAGATGGGGCTCCAAATCAACGAAAATAAGACGAAATATATGTATATGAGCCGCAATAACCAAAGCAGAGACAGAATCGGTCAGAACATTACCATCGATGACTTTAACTTTGAGCGCGTTAGAGAATTCAAGTATCTTGGAACAATAATAACTGAAGACAATAACGGATCACAAGAAATAAACAACAGGATTCAGGCCGGCAACAGATGTATTTTTGCCCTCCAAAACATTATAAAATCAAAACAACTAACACGAGGTACGAAGATACAGGTCTATAAAACAATCATACGACCCGTTGTGATCTATGGAAGCGAAACGTGGACGATGACAAAGGCAAATGAAGAGAGACTACGTGTTTGGGAAAGAAAAATCCTAAGGAAGATCTTTGGTCCGGTGCTTGATGAAGCATCAGGACAATATAGGATAAGAACTAATAAAGAGCTTGAAGAACTTTACCCAGACGCCAACATCATAAAAGAAATAAAGTCCAGAAGACTCCAATGGGCAGGACACCTCAGAAGACATTCTGACGAACGAACAGTAAGACTGGTGTGGGAGGAAGTCCCAACTGGAAGGAGACCACGCGGACGCCCTCGTCTCCGGTGGCGAGATAATATAGCAGGAGACCTAAGCACTATGGGCGTGGAGAATTGGATGGAGGTTGCTCAAGATAGAAAACAGTGGAGGCATGTTGTCGAGTCGGCTAAAACCCACGAAGGGTTGTAACGCCACGGAGTAAGTAAGTAAGTATTAGAAACGTCAATATGACAAAACGCAACACGTAATACACATTTTTTTTCACGGCGTCTGACCTGACTTTTAGGGGTGGCCTGAAAAATGTATTATATTTTAGCAAAATTTTGGAATACGTTTAAGTCGTAGAACAATTTTAACAGTTGTTTTCGATACATATTTGATTCCTCTACAAATAGTTTCCCATGACTTTTGGTGTAAAATAATTAGAAAAGCAGGAATTCAACAATTTAGAATTTCCCATTGAGTTTCCTATGGCCCGTTTGACGATTCACCACCCTATATATATATATATATATATATATATATATATATATATATATATATATATATATATATATATATATATATATATGTATGACATGCAATTGAAAATGAAAAGGAAAATCAAACCCTAGAAATTAAAAGGACACTATTTTCATGGTCTGCTTTTGGTAAGTTAAGCTTCATTTAAAACACAAGAATCCCAATAATACACTTAACGAGAAACCCACGACACTTGTATACTACCAGTTGCAACTTATGGATTGGAAACTATGGCAATAACAAGATAAATGGCAGAAAAATTAAGAGTAGCTCAAAGGGCCATGTTAAATATAAGCATCAGAGACAAAATTCCTAACATCAAACTACGTCGAAGAGCTAAAGTAACCGACATCATGGGAAAAAAAAGCGACATTGAAATCGCAATGGGTAGCATATATAGCAAGACAAGACACTAACAGATCGTCTCATAAAGAGACATTCTGGAAACCTCGAGAAACAAAAAGAAGTGTGGGAAGACCCAAAAAGAGATAGATAGACGATACATCAGCTGTAGCTGGAAAGCAGTGAATAAAAATTGCAAAAGATAGGGAAGCGTGGAAGCAATTGGAGGAGGCCTATGTCCAACAATGAATAAATGAAGGCTGAAGAAGAAGAAGTTGGAATTGTATACCTAGGATATGAACGAGATCATAATCTCTCTGGACTTTTGCATTACTACCCGAATTTAATAATTATGAGTTTTCAAAAAAATATATTAGCTTAGCAAGTCGTAGGTACCTAAAAGCTTTTACGGGTCTAATTATTTTGTCAGTTTCTGCCAAATATTGGCTTAAAGTAAACGTTGTATCGTGTTTAGTGTTTTTGAAGTGTTTGGTATATATAAGGGCCTCGTGTCTTTGGTTTATTTGTTTGTAATAATATAATGTTTGTCCACGTTTGACTTACTACAAGACACAAGAATGTTTAGATATTAGCGTTGTAACACATATCAACGCGTGGAGGATGACCACAAAAGTAAAGACATACATTTAGCACCGGAACGATGAGAAATAAAAATCATGTTGGAGTTATAAAAAAATCATGTACTAGTAACAAACTTTGAACGTATTGTGGTCCGGGTACTGTCGATATTTGGTCTTTGGGATGTGGTGAGTTTTATTAAACAAACAATACATAGCCACCCTTGAAGGTAAGCCAATTAGACGATTGAGCCTGCAGTTACCGTCAGCTAACCTTATAAAGAAGAATGGAAGAATTAAATATACAGTCCACGAGCTATTGAAGGAGCAAAATATCCAGGGGGTGAAGCTATTCTTAATCCTAAGAACAAGCAGCCTGCTCGATCTTATACCCACCAAATTAAAAAATTCATCAAATTGTAGACAATTCCGCTTTTGTTCTTTAGTTTCTCGTATGAAAGTTGATTTCTTTTCGGTACTTTTTTTAACATTTAACATTAAACATTTTTTTCTTCTACATATTTTTTGTGAGAAAAAGTTTCAAGTCGACCAACATTTAAAAATTGCGACTCATAAGTTAACACTAAAAAAATTACATTAAGATCCGCTCAGCAGCCAATTCATACGTCTGTTAGTAGTAAACAAAGCTCTGTTAGTAGTAAACATTACGTTAAAAAAAATTGCAAAACACATATTTTAATATTGTCACTTCAATATTCCTAACGAGGCAATACTAAGAAAGGGCAATGTATGACGGAGTAATTGAGAAAAGTGAAGATTCTTTAAGTGATAACAACTTTTACGTAGTTGTTGATGAAAGTAAACATGCATGTGGTCGATATATGATGCATCTTATAATCGTCGTCTTAAAAGAGGATAAACCTGAAAAACCTTATTTATTAGCTGCAAACCAACTGGAGAAAATCAATAATATGACTGTAAGCCACTTCATTCAGCAAACACTGTCTTCTTTCTTTTTACCAAAAGAAACAAAAAGTAAGTAAGTAAAAAATTTATATTTTAATAAAAAAAAAACGGATATTTTAATCCTGAATGTAAACTTTTTCCGATTTTGTAACAAAGATCATTTACAAAAACACAATACTTACGTCAGATTTTAAATTAATTGTCACTCTATTTAAATTTCCTCCTAATGGATAAATAGTTATTAAAATATCACAGAACTCAGTGGGAATGATATCACGTCTATAGTCTCTATTGTGCTCGGACCATACAATGTGAACTTCGTCATTGCCTAAATGTCTTATCTAAAACATAAATTAATCACTATAAATTACATAAATCATTGTGTATTGATTTATATATATATATATATATATATATATATATATATATATTATATTTTATATATATATATATATATATATATATATATAATATATATATATATATATATATCTTCTTCCCCTTCACGTTACTACTCTCTTCCTTATTTCCCTCATCTGACTGAGAAACTTGCAAAACTCCTAACATCTACACCAATTAAAATTGGAATTAAAAATGTCAGATCAGTTGGTAAACTTTTTTCTAAAACTAAAACCCCTTTAAACCCGCTGGAAAAGATCAATGTGGTTTACAACATCCCCTGTATGGATTGTAACCTATGTTACATTGGCCAGACTCGTAGATCCCTTAAAAGTCGACTAATTTCTCACAAGAGTGATATTAGATGCCATAAACATTCCAGTGCCTTAGCACAACACATTCTTACTTCTGACCACCGACCTGATTATGAACATGTTAAAATTCTCTGCACAGAAAGCAACCATTTCAAGAGAACCTTCCTTGAAATGTGCCACATTTTCCTCAATCCTTCCACTATGAATAAACGTACGGACATCGACAATCTCGGTTTGGTGTACCATTCTCTTCTCTCCAATATCAAATGAAAAATTTTCAACGTTATTTTCGTCATCCAGACTCTCTCATTGCCATTTTCTTTTGATCGTTTATTACCAAATTCACTTATTCTTATTTTCAACCTTTTACATCCCTTACTGATTCATACCTAATTATATAAACCCTCTCTTATAGACAATTTATATTTTCCCTCCTTGACTAATTGTCATTCTAAACTCCCGATTCCAACCTATCTTCACCACATATTGGTTTTGTAGACATTTCTACTTAACAATCTATTTGCTTCAGTGTTCTCTGCGTTGTTAGGTTTGCGTTTCTGTGTATTGCGCCTTTTCGTCTCATTCTCCCACAGAAAGTTGGATCAACTCAGAACTAATAATAAATCCACACATTCTATTGCAATGAAAATGCCGGCAATTTGACTTTCGTTTTTCGAGTCCGAATCCGTTAGATGGAAATGCGCCCTAAAGTGAAGTTCAAAATTTGTTTGTTATAACAATTCAGCTCTGTGCCAGTGCGTTTTAGTCACTTTGTTATTTTATTTCTACATTTGACTGTTGTAAGTTAGTTTTTTACGTGTAATGTTGACGAGTTTTTTAGTAAGCTTGGCAGTAGTTTTTTATTCTGTCGTTCATTTGTAAATCAAACTTTTTCGCTTTGAAAAACACGAATGCTACTACACATAAACTTTCAAGCTACAATTTTACCAAAAATTTAATGTTTTGACCACAGTTAACAAAGGGAATGGTGTGTTTGTTTAACACCTTTTATTCTTCACTCTAATTCGTAAGTTAATTTTCCATGTTTTTGTATTATTACCTACCATCATTGTAATATTTTTTAGATTTGAACTGATGAAGCTTGTGAACACCACAAGCGAAACGTCTTCAAATATAAGAATGGAACTGTGATTTCCTTGTATTATTTCTCCTTTGACCGATATCCTCGTTGATCAAAAGAATTTTTCTTTTGAAACTTACTGCATTGTATATATATATATATATATATATATATATATATATATATATATATATATATTAAACGTAGAGCTAATACTATCCTTCAGACATCAGAAACTTGTGGAAGTACTAAGAAAAAAGAAAGTGACCAATCGAGAAATCTGCAAAGAATATCTATTAGGAATGAAAATATAAGATTCGCAGATGACACCGCTATTCAAGCTTGCAGCCTAGGATTACTACAAAATTTAGTAAATGGGGCAAATTAATGTAGTACCCAAAAACTGACTAGCAATAAACATGAAGAAACGTGAGTTCATAATTATTACAAAGCGACATATATTATGGAGAGTAGTAAAAGTTGTAGCAATAAAATAAGTAAATAGTGTAAATATCTAGGAACCTGTGTAAATAAGAACCATTAACGAAGTAGAGAAATAAGAACACGGATTGAAATCGCAAGAGGATACGAATTGTTAAAGTGATATATATTTTCCACTTTATTTTAAGAAATGGACACTAAAATTTGAAAACATAAAGTTTAAAGCGTTTTAAATGAGGCGTTACAGGCAGTTTCCGAAAATACCGAATAATCATTTCTTGGCTTGGAAACTCACGTGTGTGGTATAATTTCAGCTCGATATAACGTTTCAGAACACCTGCCAATAGCATACGGATAACTATGATGATAAACAGCCTCCGATTCAAGAAGAAATCACAAGAAAACGATTGTAACATATATTTGATACACTAATGTTTTCAAAAATGTAATGTTTACTCATTTAAGAAATTGAAAATTTTATTTTCAATTTCTTAAATGAGATATTTAAATGAGATATTCTTAAATGAGAATTTTATTGATACTGAATGTATCATAAAAATGTTACCAAAACATACCTTATTAAGTACGGCCTCTGGAGAATCTCCCGGCATTCGAGTGGCAACGTGGAAAATGGCTTCTAAAAAGCTTGTAGCTATGTAAGGAGCGGTCAATCCGGTTGTTCCTTGCCTTTGTAAACCTCCTAAAAAACCGGTATGACCTTCCAATTCTACCTCCCATGCCAAAGATGCCAAAAATTGTTCATAAGCAACACTACCACCTTGATTAGACAATACTGAATTTTTATCTTCTTGACCAGGAGCTACATAAATGATAGCAAACTAAAACAAACAAAATTTAATTGGGAATTAGAAAACTCAATATAAAAAGTATATGAATTGAATTTTACAATAATAATCTATATAACTTAAATTTCTTATTAAACTCTTTACAACTGAAAAAATATATAGCAAGCAGATTTCAGTCAGTTCTAATAATGATAATGATATATGTAAATACTGTATTTTTTGCTCCTTCTCTGTTCTTGGTGTTTTTTTTTTCGCTTACACTTTCTCTTTCCATCTCTCCTGTGTTTACTAATATAAAAATTCGTTGTGTTCTTCTTAAATATCTCGCCAGGGTGATTCTTTTTATTACTTTGTTTTCTTTTTATATTATGTATATTAACGCGGGTAGCGGGTAGGAACTCCTTTTCGGATAGTCCTATCAGGGAAAGTGAATCGATCCCTGCCTTCCGCAGATTCCAGGTGTTTCCTGACCCGGGAAACTAGTACCTGCTAAGGGTGCTTTGACCAGGCTACAGTTGAAGACCACAACGGTTTTTGGATCCAATTGGAGAAGTATCAACCCAACCTTTAACGGATGGAATAAAGGGAAAACAGCTCTCTTTGAGCCGTAGAGAAGGCAACCAGTCTAAGAGCGGCACTCCGAAATCAAAACTCCGGTTTTCCAGGATGGGGGTTGAGGCATCGGCTTAGCCCCTCGATACTTGTTAAAAACTTTAAAGGTTAAAACTTCTAGTAACAGGCCTCGGAAACAATTGAACAGACGAAGACGACTTAAGCTTAGAAAACGGACTATGAATATTGGTACTTGGAACGTTCAAGGGCTCTCCAATAAAGTCAACAACGTAATTTTGGAATTTCGGAAGCCAATAAATCAAAAATGGATATTTTAGTACTTACCGAGACTAAAAAGAAAGGGCAAGCTCAAAAAAGCTAGGAGAATACGACCACTTTTTCTCAAGAATACAGAGAGAAAAGAACCCAGCAAGAAGTGGCCATACTTATAAGAAAAATACTTAAAAGGTGCATAACGTTCTGGGAAGCGGTGAATCAGTGCATCATCAAACTTAACCTGACTCTGCATAGTAGTAGAGTCACCATTCTTGGCATCTATGCAGTAAACGAAGACGCTTAATTAAAAGATAAAAAAGAGTTCTTTGAGCAACTATCTTACGAAATATCAAAAATAGGAGTATTTCTCTTGATGTTCCTATTCTAAGAGTTCTAAATGCGAGAACGGGCAAAAAAGTTAAAGATAAAACAGTTAGTCAATTCGGAGAAAATACTAAAAATGACAATGTAGATAAGCTTATCAACATATGTGAACAAAACAACCTGAGAATACTTAACTGCTTTTTCCATAAATTCACTTGAGTCCAACAATCAAGAAATTTGAAATCCATTATAGACTATGTGATCGCCCGACAAACTACGCAACTCAATACTAGTCGTAATGACCATACGACTATTCAACAAAAAAGAACACAACGAGGAACAAAAGCAAAAAAAACAATATAAACTAAATACACCTTGGATAGCCTCAACCATGAAAGCACAAAGGCACTGTACAAAAAGTGACTCAATGAAAAGTTCTTACAAGAAAATTTTGATAGTGTCGAGCACCATTACAATTACATAAAACAATGTCTCAAAAGTGCAGTAGAAGAAGCCCTGGGTAAATATGGAAAAACCGAACGAAGGAAGCCATATTGGTGGGATGAAGAAATCGAAGAAAAAATAAAAGATTAAACGAGATAAATACCACAAACACTTAAATATAAATACTGATCAAAGTAAAAACGAATAACCGAAATCTGGAAAATAGTTTGATCTCTTCGACAAGATAAGGCTAAAGACATCATCTCACCGATCAGCCTAGATAAATGGAATGAATACTTTGCAAATCAACTGGCGGAAGAAAGGACAGAATATTTGCAAACACCTCAACAACAATCAGAGGTGCAAGTACATACAATAGCTTCCGCAATTAGAATTGATGACAAAGAAGTAGCAAGAGTATGCCAAGCATTAAAGAATAGAAAATCACCAGAATCTGGCAATATCCCACCTGAGCTACTCAAGTATGGTACCGTTCCCGTCATAAAAAACTGGTACAGCTCTTATAATCAAAAATCGTGATTTTTAAGTTGTGTACGTTAATCTTGTCATATGTGTCATTCTAATTTCTAGAGCACAGTTGCCAGTTCAACGAAAATATTATATCAAACCAGCTAAAAGCAGGACTGTGTGACAGACCGCCAGTTTAGAGTATACTAAAAACTAAAACATTATCGAGCATTCTTGATCACTCAGTCACATTAAATGTGTTTAAACATGCATTCTAAAAAATTCTCATATTAATTTTGTAATTTTCCATCATCGCAATTAAGTACCCATACATTGATTTGTGTTTTATAACAATTTATGAAAATATTTTAATTCAAAAATAATGACAGATAATCAATCTAGACAAACTTCAAATTGTTATAATAAAACATTACAGTGAGATATTGGATTGTAACTGTTACGTTTTGAAAAGCGTTTTTTCGCCCAGAATATTTTATAGTTTATAATACGTAGGAAAAAGTATAATGTTAGTTTTTCACATTTTTTATCGTTCTTGTAATAAATAATAAATTAATCTTGGAAGTTTGCCTGTTACAAAACTTATTGACGCAGAATACAGTTCGAGTTCGGTAGGTAATTACATGTAATTTGTAATTACATTACAAATTACAATAATTACATGATACTATGACTAACAAGATAGAATCTTCCCGTAGCACAAAATAGGTCGTGTTCGCGCATGCCGTCATTGGAGAGTAGAATTTGAATTCTTGTTAAAGTTAAATGGGATTTGTATAACATTCTGTGATGAAATTACTAGACGAAAATAAGTTAAGAGGTTTAATAATTACAATAATCGTACACAAAAGGATATCTTCAAACTATTTATTTAAGATTATTTATTGATACATACAAAAAACTGGCATTTCGAACGTCAAATTCTCCAATGACGTCACGACTTATGCGCAATATCTTATCTTCTTGTCTTAGTATCATGGGTAATTAAAGTATAAAATTACAGTAGATGCATTTCAATGTACCCTGTGTCAATATCCTAGGTTTAAAGATCCTTCAAACATTTTGGATAATAACTCAATCCTATCTCTGCTTATTTAATTTCTTAGATACGATTTTTTGTTGTTAATGATATAAATAATACCTATCTAAAAATTTTATACATTTTTGGACGTTATTTTTTTATTTAGATTTGGTGCAATTCCGTTATCTGTAACGGCAACAACGAATTGATTTCTGAACACAGGTTTACATTGGGAAAAAAAAGTGTACCAGTTTTATATGACGGGAAGTGTACAAGCAATAAGCAGCTAGCCAGCCTTTACCAAAAATGCATTAACGGAGAGAGTATACCGGAGGAGTGGAGGACATCGTTTATCACGACAATACATAGGAAGGGAAGTAAAAGATGTATGTGACAATTATCGAGGAATCGCAGTGCTTAGCATCATCTCGAGAGTTTACGGGAAACTCATCAAAAAGAGAATTGAAGATGAATTCTGTGATATGGAGGCGGAAGAACAGGCCGGCTTTAGAGCACGTAGATCAACTATTGACCATCTGTTTACTGTTACCCAGCTAATCGAAAAAAAAAGTAGCACGAAATCAACAAATAGATCTCCTCTACGTAGACCTTAAAAAAACTTATTATGGTGTGCCACAACAAAAACTCTGGGAAGCTCTCGAGAAAACAAATATTAGTGTAACCTTAATCAAGGTTGTTCAAGACCTCTACAAGAACAACACAAGCAAAAAAAAGGTCAGGAGGTATCCAAGGGTTTCACTACCAGCAAAGGACTCAACTCAACTCGAGTCAACTCAACTCGACTCAACTCTCGGTGGAACCTGTAACCTCTAGAGAGCGCGTCCCCAGGTGACGGATAGGGGAATGTCCGACCCGGTTTACCGGTGGGTAGGAGGGCTATTGAAGATACTGCAATTGAGAAGGTTAATAACTATAAATATTTAGGAACATGGATAACATCAGATGTAGACCAAACCAAAGAAATTAAGACACGTATTGAAATAGCACGTACATCATTTATTAAACTTAAAAAGTTTCTTTGTTGTCGGGATATAAGGTTAGAACTACGCCTGAGAATGCTTCGATGTTACGTGTTCTCTACTCTTCTTTATGGTCTGGAAGCTTGGACACTCAAACAAGTTCATCTGAATAAGCTGGCCGCCTTTGAATTTTGGTGTTACAGAAGAATCCTACGAATATCATGGATTCAAAGAATGTCAAACATGGAAGTAACTAGAAGGATAGGAAATGAGGCGGAAATAATATTAACTATTAAAAGACGAAAACTTGAGTACTTGGGACATGTGATGAGAGGGATAATATTAACTATTAAAAGACGAAAACTTGAGTACTTGGGACATGTGATGAGAGGGCAAAAATACGCATTATTACAACTTATTATGCAGGGCAAAATTCGAGGAAAGCGAAATGTGGGAAGACGAAGAATATCCTGGCTTAAGAACTTAAGGGAATGGTTTGAATGCAGTAGTGCAGAACTTTTTAGAGCGGCAGTCAACAGAGTCCGCATAGCCATGATGATTTCCAACCTTCGATAGAAGATGGAACTTAAAGAAGAAGGAGGGAAATAAAATACCACCCGTGGACCAACAGGTAATTCACCGAATGATTGCCGGTAGAAGCAATCCCCCACTTATGACCAACGGCTGCGGACGGATGAGTTAATAAGTGGAAGGACACTCTTTTGTCCAGGTGTTGGGAAACTGGTCCTAAAGGCGGATGAATCGAAAAATATGTCAACGGCGTAAGGATGCAGAAGGCAACGGGGAACCACTGCATTAAAGAATCTTAGAGTACCCCTAGTAAAGTCATGAATGGCAAATGACAAGTAGAGTAAACAAACTTACTGATTATAAAGCACGGAATCCAAGATCCGGCAGGGGAGGAATAACTGTAGATCACAGTGCCTCCC